ATAAGGTACAAACAAGGTAAAAGCTAGTAAGGGTTACATTGTTGAAATAAATTCCACATTCCTATGAGGCAGAGCCCCGAGTACTGCCATATTCTGCAAAATAAACAAAAAAGGGCCTGCTCCAGAAATACTTTTATGATCAGAAATCATTTGAACACATTGAGTCAATGCACTTTCATTGGATATGCTTCCAGCTGCTTCACACAATATAATCTCTGCTCAAGTACTCACAAGCCAGAGCCAGAGTCTTCAGAGCCAAGTGGATATTTCATTTTGCAAGCTTTTTCTTTGTTTAAAGTGAATTTTGTTACAGTTCTTTAAAAAAGTGACTGGAAAGACAAAAATAAGACACAAGGAAATGGAATGAAGCTGCATCAGGGCAAGTTCAGACTGGACATTAGGAAAAGTTCTTCACTGAGAGAGCGCTTGGTCACTGGAACAGCCTCCTAGGGAGCTGGTCATGGAACAGGCATCAAGCCTGTCAGAGGTCAAGAAACTTCTGGATAATGCTCTTAGCCATATGACTTAGCTTTAGGTAGTACTGCAAGGAGCAGGGAGTTGGACTCCATGATCCATATAGGTCCCTTTCAATTTGAGATATTCTATGGTTCTATATAAAAATAATATCTACAGAGATATTATGATAACCCTAAGGTTTTCTTGCCAACTTTAAGGATTTGTCTCCTTTCCCCTATATTGTGGGGAATAAGCTGATAGCTGGAGGGCAAGACTGCCACTCAGAGGGATCTCAGCAGACTGGAGAAATGGGCTGACAGGAACTTACTGAAGTTCACCAAGAACACATGTAGAGTCCTGCAACTGGGATGGGGTAAACTCATGCTGAGGGCTGACTGCCAAGAAGGCAACATCGCAGGAAAGGGTCTGAACGTCCTGGAAGACAGCAAAGTGAGTATCAGCCACAAATGTGCCTTTGCAGCAATGAAGGTTAAACACATACTGGAGTGTATTAGCAATAGTCAAGGGAATTGGTTATACCCCTCTAAATGGCACTAGTGAGAGTATCGTGTCTAGCTTGGGGCTCCCCAGCTGATCTACTGGAGTGAGTCCAGCAGTGGGCCACCAAGGTTATTGCAAGAAGAGGCAAATGAATTTGTTCAGTTTTAAAAGGCAAGGCTAAGGGGAGGAAACATTACTTCTGTTTTCATCTATCTAATAAGAGGGTACAGAGAGGAAGGAATCATATTCTCAAAAGTGAATGGGGATGAGAGGCAACAGGCACAAACTGTAACAACAGAAATCCCAAATGGATACCAGGAAAAAAATTTCATGAATAGTTGGTTGAAGATTGGAACTGCTGCGCAGAGAGTCTGTAGCATCTCCATCCTTAGAAATATTGAAAACTTGACTGGACAAGATTCTAGACAATGTAACATAACTTTAAAGTTGGCCCTGCTTTGACAAAGAAGTTGGAGCACATTATATTCAGAAGTAATTTCCAGTCAGAATTATTCTATCATTGCATGAAAGTTTAGAGTGGTTTCTGTGTAAATCTGGTTTCATCGCTATTAAAGGGCTCTTGAATTTGTTGAATGCTGTATATGATGCATGGCAAGGTGACGTAACAATTCAGATGCTTCATTTGAATGTGTTTCTGGCCCACACACAGCTTCACTAGCTCCGCAGCATGGTTAGCCATTCAGAGAGAAAAGTATATTTATTCCAATGTCACAAAAAAGTTAACATTTTAAAAAATTCCAACCTGTCATCTTTCCTTTGCATTAATCACGGGATTGTAGAAGGACAGAGAGCTGATTTTCAAACATTTGCATAGAGAATTCAGCTTAAAAATTTTATTTGAATTCAATATGCAAACCTTTAGAGGTGTACACACCACCAAAGAAAAATGCCTGGCTTGGACCAGATGGACCATAGGCTAGGAGATTTGGGGAACTTGCCCAGGCCCTGCCAGGCCTGAACATTACTTCCTTTGAGAAGTGAGGCTTCACTTCTGACTCGAAAGTGAATATGATCCTCTTTCCCAAAGAGAACTGAAATCAAAACATATTTATACTTTTCAGTATGAAGAGGCCATATCACACCTATTTTACTGTTGTATCTTTATAGCATTCTTGTGCCAGAGGCAAGCATCCACAGAATTTCAAACAGCACACAAATCTGTTTTGAGTGGTGAGCTGTTAAGCTGTCTCCCCACATGTCTGATCTGAGCTTTTCCTTGTCATCTAGCAGAGATAATAATTTAAACACTAACAAGACCACACATACTCCCTTACATTTCTTGCTCATGTTTTGTGCAAAATAGTGACTGCAGTGTGGAGACAGAGGACAAACACTGCATTCTCTCTGAGTTTTAGTCTATGATATTTTTCGAAGTCTTTGGGTCCAGTAAATGGTGCAGCTTCTCCAAGAGTATACTTCATAACCTGTGAGGGGTAGAGGGTTACATGTCAAGTTCTGCTCATGTCCCTCTTCTCACTTCTGTCATCTTTGGATGGCAGGTCCATTAAAACCTTAGAGAGGGAAATGAGTGCTGGAGTGCCTGCCTGATGAAAAAACATAGGCCATCCAGCAGACAAAAAATAGTATAAAGAGATTGTCCTCAAGTTGCAGGAAGGGAGAATGAACTGAAACTGGACAAGTCAGATATGGTTCAGTTCACCAAACAAAGTAGTGGGAATCTCACCACCTCAGGTTTGGCTTTGCCTAGAATGCCTGAATGTAGATGAACAGTACCAACACACAGAGCTTATGAAAAAAAAACAAACCAAAACCAAAACCACCCACCTGGATTTTAATAGACCTTTCATTTCTCTTTTATTTATTTTTTTGTTTAAAGTTATGACCTCTGCAACATAACCAGGAAGCAAAGCAAAGCAAACAGAAATGCATGCAAGAAAGACCCACAAGGTTTCCATTATATTGTAATGGAATGATGAGTTATTAGTGTCAAGTTTTTTTTTGACCTAAGAGAGGTTTACTGTTCCTCAAAATACTTACAATATCAACCCTGGACATGACTAAAAAAATAGATAGGAAAAACAACCAACTTGTCCCAAAGAAGGTGTATATTTGATGTTTAATTTGTGGTAGATATTTTTCCAAATCTACTTCAGGAGGCACTTAACATACTCTTAGCATCCCTGCTCACTAATCTACTTTCAGCTCTGTAGACTACATTAACAAACAGCTTTATCATAAAAACTTGTAAGTGTCACAACATCTTTACATTTGTCATGTCTGTACACAAGGAACCTGAAGCAAACACAGGTATTGTTTGAACTCAGCTCTCAGGGTATTGTTTAATAATCAGAAACTGAACAAGCTCACAAGCCTTATTTTCCAAAGCTCTGCAACCACCTTCAGTTGCATGCCAGCTGGTTTCTAGTATGAGCCAGAGAGATGACAGCCGATCAACCCCACTAGCCACGCATGATGACTAACTGGCTTTCTCCTGCTAAGTTCCAGTACTGCTCTGCTCTCACGGCTTGCCCTGCCTACCTGCTCCATTTCGCGGGTCACTGTGAGACTTACAGATCTCAGGAGTGCTGCTACATCACAGGGCACAGACAGAGCCTTGCTACAGAGGACAGACTTCCTACATACTCTTGCTACATTCCCCTCACCCCTGTTTTCTTAAAGTAGGTTTGGCACACCCAACCTTTCTGCAGATTTGGGTGATAACCGCGTGCAACAGACCTCCCAATACTTTATTTTTTTTTTAAGAGTATGACATGGTCAAAATGACACAGCAAGAGAAGAAGGGCATAAAATTCCTATGTCCTCAAATTTAAAGATGTTTGGGCCTGTCCTTTCATTTTCGCTCCTGACAGCATCCTAAACGCCTGGTGATTCGCGGAGGCGCCCCGGGACATGTCCCCGGCCCCCCAGGCAGGCAGGGGTAACACACAGCAGGCCAGTGGCAGGGCTCGCTTTCGGCCACTGCCCAGGTTCTTTTCTCTAACAAATAGTTCCGGGGGAGAAATATCCTTGATGTGTTTAAGGAGCACAAGGTAGGTAGTGAAGCTTCCAAGGGGGAGCCTTGTCTGGCAGGATCAGCGGGCTCTGCCGGGGCTGGGACGGCGCTGGCTCAGCCCAGGGGCAGCAGGGACAGCGCACTGCGGGCGGCGACCTCCGACCCCCTGGTAATGGAAACGCCTCCCGGGCAGCAATTCCCGAGGCCGACCGCGGGCAAGACCACGGGTCGCGGCCGAATCGCTGCGGGAGCCGGGGGCGGCCCCGCCGGGATCAGGCTCCGCCCGCCGCGCACCTGCCGCGGGCCACCCCCGGCGCGGGAGGCGGGCGGGGACGGCGGCCGCCCGTGCCCGGCGTGTGCCAGGAGCCCGCCGGTGCCGCAGGAGGAGCAGGAAGCGCCCGGGCGAATCCAGCCGCGCTATCACATGACTCAGCAGCCGCTGCCGCCGGGCTGAGTTCACCCAGCGCCGCGCCGGGAGGGGGAAACCTGCAATGAGGCCGCGGCCCCGCGGCTGCCCCTGAACCCGCCGTTCCCCCGCCCTGCTGTGCGCGGCCCGGCGACCCCATTGCGGGAGCGCGGCGGGCGCTGCCGGAGCCGCCGCCGCCGCAGCGCTGCCCGCCGGCGTGACCCGCAA